ATATATATATATATATATATATATATATATATATAAGCGCTATTGATATTGAGGGCTTGTGGGAGCGAGAATGGTTTTACTGACAGTAGTTCTGTTGAACAGGTATCAGATACTGGCTGGTGTTATCGAACAGCGCATTTTGGAACCTATGCTACATCAGCACAAGATCATGCTCAGTGCACTTAGTTTCGCTGTTCGAACAGGCAACACATTCCTGGGTTCATTATTGTAAGATTGCAGTCATTACCTCCTGGATATCTTATTGCTTGATAATTTCTGTACCTGTGGCATCTCATGTTCATCACTTTGCTTCAACAGGTGGGTGGACTATGCTCGCATGATAGGAATCCAAAAGGCTCAGGAGGAGCATAAGGAATTGACTGATTAGTTCTAGAAATGTGGGTTTGCTGTGTTGAACTTGCTTGAAGTAGGTGATCAATTGGAAAATTGAGGTATTTGGGTGCTGAACTGCCAAGATGTCCTGAAAATATATACTTCAGAATTAGTCGATAGTGCTCTGACGTTTTGTGGTTGGTCTCAGTTTTTTCCTCTGGCGTTGTTGTTGTCCGGATTTGGACACAATCACTGGTAAAATTTGAACTGTCGGGAGTTGCCAAATGAGTGCAAGAATAATAGACATTTTTTGTTTCTCTGTCGAGTAACATTCGGTCGCCACCACGACTCGGCATATGATTTTCTGTTTTTCCATGTGTTCACAGAACTCACCACGCCGGACACAGTGCGGCTATTACTTGCTGGCGTAGTCGTAATATTCACTGAAGTGCTTGCGTTGTTAGGTGGAAGTGGCCGGTTGAGCTTAAAGAGAGAGAATGGATTCGTGGACCGCCCGTTGTGTGATCGAGACTTTATTATTTTTCATTTTACGTTGTGATCCCTACACGTTGCTTGGAGTTATGCACGTGTTGGATAAAAAAAGGTCTGGATCCAAGAATTGAAGGAGTTCAGGGACGCATACTAAATCTCTAAACGTTAAAGGGCATGTCCTCACCAATCACAGTCGTTCCACAGCAAGGCTGTGCGCATGTTACTCGTGTTTTCTTTCTTTTATACATGTTAAAATAGTATTTTAAAATCAATTTATTTCTCAATCAAGGTTATTTTTTTAAAATAATCTTGGAAGCAATCTAATGTATTAAAAAAAGGATTCTTTATAACAGTGAACTTATTTTTTTTTACAAAAAAAACAGCAAATTACTTTAAACAACAAGCCAACAAAGTAAATTTCAATGTTTGGTGAATGTCTGTGGGCCCGAGTTATTAAAAATAGAATTTAAAAAATAAAAAATTATTGTTATAATATATTTCTAAACAAAAAATATTTTAAAAAATAATATTTACTACCATTGCAATTAATTCTATTAGGTTATGCAAACAGGGATTAACGGGGAACTGAACAGTGTAATGACATCAACACATTGGATCCAATAATACTAAAAAGTCATTTGTATTCAAAAGTTTAATATTATTGTTTCAGATCTTAGAAATGAAAAAGACCAAAAGAACATATCCCATGTATAGACAGATCTGTGGGATAATATGACACTAATAACCTATACTCTTAAGTGTTTTTTAGTACAAGTAACATTGTTTAAACACTAACCTATGCATTTCTTTATGCTCTGTTGTTCTTTGTGGTGTAATATTCAGGCAATGACTTCATCTTTCAAACACGACCTTATTTTGATTTCTGTAACATTCGTCTCCGCCTTGTAATCAACATCACAGCACTCCATTACCCCGGCCTGGAGATTATGCAGATGAAAACCAAAAATAATAATTATTATTATTTTTGTAGAGAAACGGCCAAAAAACCTCCAGCGGGTGAATTGGAACCTGCACTTAATCTTAAATTTGATGCATAGATAAAAATTAAAGATTTAACTAGCACTTACCGTTTTCCGTGCTGTTGCTTGAGAATGTACCCGAATTTTGGAGATGGAATCAGCGGAATGGTTTCCAGAAGCTGAGCAAGGTGGCATGTTCCGTTGTGCTGCTCGAACATAGGTTGTGAGAACTTGGTCGTTCTCTGGATTATGCTCTATGGACTCAAAGAAAAATACATGAGGAGCTTCGCATGGATTGTTAGTCAGCCACCGTGTGTTGAACATGAAGAACGGAGGGCGAGTGTTCCTAGACCAAGGCCTAAACGTTTCGAGGGGTTTGCGTAAAATGCTTCGAGGTATTATATTCTCATATATGTGAGTAGAATAGCCCCATGACACTGAGAAAGACCAGTTGCTTTCTCTTTGGTAGCAGATGGTTTGCTGTACAACGCGAGACTGATCAACCTTTGCAGCTTTCATGAGGTGCCTTAAAGCTTCGTACTTGTCCATGGAGGGAAATATTGGATCTACGACATCCAAATGGTGGAGAGTGAGGAGTGGAGATTGCGGGTGAAATGATAGAAAGCCTGATATGTCACCACGTAGATCAATCTGCAGGTACCAAAAAAAAGGTGTTTATGAGGAAAATCTCTTGAAGGAATTGTTCCTAAGCGTTTTCCTAGATAGGTAAACGTGCATGGTGCAGATTCATAAGCGGAAGTACTTGTAACAGATTTCAACAATGAATTCAGGTATAGGAGGAGCAAAAGTTCGATCGATTACCTGGTGAATCCCCTTCTCAATTGTTAAAGCAATTCCAAGATCAGCAAAACAAGATTGTGCCATATGATCACTAACCCGCAAATAAGGGTATCTCTCAATACAATCTTCTAATTTGGTTGATAATGCTTGTGCAAATGGATAACTCACAGCATAGCCAGCTCCACCAAATCCCATATCAAAAGAGAAATCAGCATTTGACTTGACACATTCTGAAATACCTCCAATGTACTGATACTTATTATGATCGTATTTTCTTAGAACTTCCACCAAATTATCGACGAAAATTATAGAGTCATCATCACACATTACTAACCATCTCAAATCCTTATCTCCCACTCTATACATATCTAAAAGCGAATGAAACATTCGAACTTGAAGAGGGCTTGCGATTTTAGGGTACACTCTTAATTTGGTGATGTCCTCGTTGACTCGAAAAGGAGGAGAAGTTGAAGGCCAGGGTAGAAATTCCTCGGTGGGTTCTTTGTCTAAGAAGACATATCCTCTGGTAACATTCGGCCGCCACCATGACTCGATGTATGATTTTCTATTCTTCCATGAATTCAAAGAACTAATCACTATAAATCCAATGTGGCTAATATTAGTTGGAGAGTCCATGGTGTTATCAGCGATACTTGAAGATGAAGCTGAAGGCCATTTGAGCTGAAAGGGCAGCTAATCACTATAAATCCAATGTGGCTAATCTTAGTTGGAGAGTCCATGGTGTTATCAACGATACTTAAAGATGAAGCTGAAGGCCATTTGAGTTGAAAGGGCGGGTTGAATGGATCAGGAGATTGGTTCTCAGGGTTGTGTGACAAGAATGCATAGAACAAAAGAAGGACTAGGCCTGAAATAGCTATGGATTTGCATAGAATTCCAAGAGGCAAGACTCGAAACTCTTGGAGAATTGATGAGCGCAATTTGGTGACGTTTGATGGTGTCATTTTGGAAGATGAGAGAAGTGATGATTGCAGATGATCAAAACATCGATAATCTAAGATGGAGAAATTACAGTCAGGGTAATTCTCTTTGTGGAGGCTTTGCAGAGGGAGTTTTAAAAGGAATTATAAAGCCACGATTCTTGTTTAAGTTTCCTGCTCCATGTGATGCACTCCTTTCTTTCATTGTCGATGGTCTCATGCACGCAGCAGCTACGTGGAGGTGATTACTTAAGCGTTGATTTTCACGAACTAGGCGTTGATTTTCAATATATTTACCATAACTTTAAGCTATGATATACATAATTTATACTCTGTCTGAAAACATATACATATATATTTAATCAAATTTACAAGCTGTGATTCATGGAAGAACACACACCGTCGAGGACAGGACGTCTTAGAGGTATATATTGCTTCCAATATAATTCCCAAGAGAATACAAAAATATGAAACGATTTTTAATTTCTTGAAATGCAACGTCGGTGGTTTTCTTTTCTCCATTTAATTCTGTAATTAAACGCAACATTCCGCTACACACACACACACATATATATATAAATGATTTTGATTTTATGAACGCTTTGTTTGGATTGTTGTAACATAAACAATCATACAATTTCCATTACAAAATAGCCACGGAATTACATTAATGCCCTTTTTTAGTCCCATCAGTAAGCACATCCCTGAAGTTGTTCGGTTTGTTTAATTTGGTCCCTTAATGAAAAATAAACCAATTGAGTCCCCTATCACGTGCTTCATCGTTAGTTTGGACCTTCGACCCCATGCCCAACATCATATCATGCTATCATCAATGTTTTGTTGGATTCACTCTTGCATTAGACTTACTTCACTATCCAGCTCCATAGGATGTTAGCCAAGTGATATAGAAAGAACATCACCCTCTGACAATATTAGAAAAGCAGGTGCAAAGGGATTTAATTGATTAAAATTTCAATTGGAGGACTGAATTAGAAAGATTGAATAAATGTTTTAAATAGATTTTCGCTCATGTGCAAATCTCTTATAGGTTCAGTCAAGGTCTGTCCTTTTGTCCACTTTTATTGCTTTGGGCGCCAAGTATCGAACATATGTGTATAGAATAATTAATGAGAAAATTAATTACACCTGGGAATTAAAAAGAAAAGAAAAGAAAAATTCAAACTTGAATATGTAAAGAATAAAAATGAAAGAGAAGAAATGGTGTAAATTTTACTCAATAATTTTAATATTAAGCGATTTATTTGACTGAAACTCTCATTTTGATTTCATATCTTTAATATTAAGATTTTGACTGTTCTCCTGGAAGCTTGAAAAGCAACCCTTTTAGAGAAGCTCGCATATCGATTTTTAGCTGGGCCTTGGCTGTAGAGAGCTAGCTAGCCGTTGACCACCTCGCCTGGGCCTGCGAATTAGGGTTCCCGAAGCAAGAGTTAGAGTTGTTTCAACTTTTATTCACAAACCGTAACTCATTTTCTTGATCGAAAAACAGTCCACGTTTGGAGTCGGATATCGCATTAATTATCACACGAGTTTCACTAATAATAAACTGAACCCAAAAATCTATTTTTCTTACATAAAGAATTTTTAAGTATAAATTGAAATAAGTATATAATTTTGTGTAAAAAAATAAAGTCAAATAACTAAAAAAATCAAGAAATAAATACATATCAAGTTATTTGATTATGTAATATGGAATATTTATCTGATTATATTTGTTGAATTTATTTATTAAAATTAAAAAAATTTATTCAAGCTTGTTTAAAAGAAATAAAAAGAAGAAGAACTTGGATTAGAGGTCCAATTAGATTTAATAAGTTGATTTTATAATTAGATAATAAAAAAATAGTAGTAGTAAATAGATAAAAAAATTTTATATAAAAGGATCATTTTACTGACCTAAAAAAGTGATTAAAAAAAATGCATGTACCCTATGAAAATTCTTAATAACCAATGAGTTATCCAAAATGACCATATTACCCCAGTACCAAGGCATTTTATTTTTTCTTCAACTGGCAAAATCATAATTTTATTATAGCAATGAATAATTTTTGTGTCAGCATGTATGGTTTTTAGAGTTTTGGTAATATTAATTAAAATAAAACAGCTAATGGAGATGAAGAGTTTCATTATTATCCTCTCTTTCTATTCATCCAAAAGTTTTGTAACTGGAAAAACCTGAAGAAAAACAGAGAGAGAACGTGAGAAATCTATCAGCCGGTAAAATAATGGCTATTATAAATTAATTAGCGACATTAAGGTACAAATTATTTACAATTTAAACAATAATTTACTAAAAACTAAATGTTTAGCAACATATTCAGGACTCAAAACTAAAGCATTAATTATTCTATATACCCAGATTCTCTCATGCTCATCCTAAAGTAATATATTATCATATTATGAACCATATAATTCTAATAATTTGTAAACCTGTTTTTCCTCCTTTCTAATAGTTTATATAACAGAGGTCTTGAATCAAAAGCGTCAAACACACATGTGGTAATATATATAATATATCTCGCACTTTAATCTACTATAATAGTATTTATTACCTTTGCAATATAGGAGACTTTTGACACATCTTCAATATCATTCCATTATCATTTTATATATATATATATATATATATATATATATATATATATTTTATCTTTTATCATTTTATATATATATATATATATATATATATATATATATATAGTCTACAATGCTTGTTCGAAGGAAAAGCTAGCTCTCCTTAATCTCAGGTCTATAAAGACCTGGATTATACAGTTTGAGATTTTCAAATTCAAACCGACAGAACAAGTGCTGCAATTAACAGCCCTTTGTTTCTTATTTTCTGTAACCGAAAGGTGGTTTCAGCATGAAGCCTGCAAGCATATCTTCGATTGCAGATCACCAGCTCCCACGACTTTCCTATATATACTCCGGGGGCCACTGGTCCACCAAGCCTAGACAAGCATTTGGGAGCAGAAGACGGTAAACATCAGATAGCTGTGGGCAGCAGCAAAGACAGATGCTTGACAAGGCAGCATCTGTATATTTATAATCTTACATCCAGGTTGTTTGCTTGTATCTATTCATTGAAAGACTGACAAGTCGTACAGATTTTAGAGACAAATTTGGCCTTACGGAAACAACTTCCGTTGCCTCTAGTAATTTTCATCATCATCTGCAGCGGATTGACAATAAGGATTGTTTTTCCCTTGCAACTACTACAAGTTACCCCCTCCTCTACAAGAACTATTAAGTTAGAAAAAACATTATAAATCCCGAGGGCCATCAAAAGATTGGGTCTTTCTAAGATTCCAGTGGAGGCCATCGTGGATACTTCGCAAAAAGTCGTTTGTAGAATCAATTTGGCATGCTGTTGGCACAGGCCATGGTGCCATGCTGCACACAAGTGCATCACCAGCCGCCAACTGTTTCCTGTCCTTACCATCAAATGAGGCCCAAGCAGGGCTTCTGCTGTTGAATGGAACTTGAACTCGTATTGTTACATGTTCAGGTAATATCAGAGGTCGAAACGATAAGGAATGGGGACAAATTGGAGTGAAGAGAATGCCAGGGACCTGAAATTACAGAAAATTCATCAAATTTGTAAAATTTATCACGCACATTTGATTGATAGTAATGATACTAATATTGAATATAAAAGAATATATTCAATTTCAAATGAAAACAATTACACATTCTTCATATGCAAATCGAAATTATTTAACTTTCCTATGAGATTGAAGAAACGGGTAACACAAACTTTATACATGTCCACAGTGTGGATGATAACTATTACAAATTAAACAGATAGTTTAATAACATAACGGAATCTTTTGCAATCAGCCAGATCATGCCATTGAGAATGGGGAAAAGGCAGACCAGTCTATTCTTACTCAATCTGTTAGCCATTAGAAGCTTGCCAGCATTGTGAGAGACCATGAGTCAACTCTAATTCCCATTATTACTCTAGCTGAACC